AGAAAGGGAAACTGGTTTGTCCAGCTATCTGGAAGGAAAGGGGTGTTGTCCCCTTACGATAGGGTGACCAGACAGCAAATGTGAAAAATCAGGACGGGGATGGGGAGTAATAGGAGCCTATATAAGAAAAAGACCCAAAAATTGGGACTGTCCCTACAAAATCGGGACATCTGGTCACCCTACTTTAAGGGCTCTCTTCAACAGGGGCGTGAAGGGAGAAAGGGGTGGCAAGAAAGGACAGGAAGACTTTGGAATCAAGTTTTTTGTACTATAGTAATTAAAATTAAAATGTGTATTTTAGATAAAGGTGGTCTTTTGAAGGATTTATTTAAAAAACAATATGTCTGAAGATCCAAGCATTTAAGGCTAAAGATGAATACTCATATTGAGCATCTAAAAATCTGTGCAAGGATTTTTTAAGAGATGTGATTTTATAATCTTCAGCAACAAACTAATGAAATATTTTTAAAGCAAATTTTAAACTAAGATCCTGTAGACTAACATATTCTGAGTAAATATCACAGTAAATGCGCAACTGTTTTTGTCAGTAAATTCAGAAACTGATAGTATATACCTGGGGGTTGGCAAATGCCTATTAAATGGCTTCATTATCACTTGAATGGCTCTTTAACAGTTTCAGTGTTGTGCTAATAGGTCTGGCAGGCTGGAAGACCTTTTTTTCACTTTTAAGTTACTAGATCCCCTCTGGAGGAAGACTCATCAGGCTGCAGCAGCCAGCTCTGGTGGGAGCCTGCAGGAAGGGTCAAAACAGGATAGGAAGAGGTGGGAGGGTGGACACGAAGACCCAGGGATGCTCCAAATTTTTGCTCCGTACATGCTGCATATGCCTAAGGATGTCCCTGCATGTCCCCATGTGTCCTTGAACCCCCACACTCTCTTCTGTCCTCATGTGGCCCTTCACTCCCACTCCCATTCAGCCCCGGGCTCAATGCCGTTACCCCACTAGCTCCTGTACCCCCACCTCAGTCTTCCCTACTCTTCCTTCTGAACCCTAGTCTGTGTGACACCTCAGCAACACTGTGTGCCCCACTTTGACTGTCCCCCCCATATCTTGTGCCTCCTCACCTGGCCCTACTGGCAGGGCACAGTGAGTAAAGCAGGCTCTGCCCTCTCTCTCTGAGGCTGGCTGCTTGGGCCCCTGAGCCTGCTGCTCTCTCTTCTGGTGCCTCCTACTGGGCAAAAGGTGTAAATGCAACTTCCTTTTACCTCCCCATCAGAATCACTTATGCTGCAGGACATATTAATTCTGCGCTTGCACAGTGGCACAGAATTCTCCCAGGAGTATAACTAGGCAAGACTACTTATATAAGTCATGTTATCAAAGAGCCATATCTAGTGGGCAACAGTGAAGCTTAGTCAAGTGATATCCAAAAGAAAATGTAAACGTTTTCATAACATGGCATTGATCCCTTTTCTCTCTCCCAGCTGCTTGGTGCTGCCCTTCCTTTGCAGCTGTCCTGAACATCAGCTTGCAGGTAATTCCTGAGTATCACGTTCTGGGGTGCAGTCCAAACTAGTGAGGTGTTGTCATGACCTGCCCTGCAACCTTGGGTGCCTCACAATGCTTTGTTGCTGTAGCTCACAACTTGGGTTGCTCACAATCAGCCCACCAGCATGCAGGTCAAACCCTGAGTTTCTGTGTATAGCCACAGCCCTAATCCAGCAACTCTGACACCAGCAGCCTGTCAGTAAGCACCAGATACATGCTGCTTCCTGCAGCCTTGGTTACTATCTGCAGGGTGACCCCAACACACTCCCAGTCCCAATTTTTCCCCCCAAAACATGTGTCCTGCACTGTCCAGCCCTTTCATGGACAGTTCAGGTGTTATAGGTCCATAGCCCCTGTAGGGGGTCAGTATACAACAGTTTGCTACTTTAATTGGGGTTACCAAACAATGCAGTTTAAACACAACATTGGATTAGTTTTGATTAAATAATAAAACAAGTTTAGTTACAAAGAGGCTTTAAGTGAGTACAAGTGTGAGGTATTGAAGTCAGAAATGATTATAAGAGAAATAAAGATAAAATGCTTTTTACTAACTAAACTTAAATTAGATCTGGTTTAAGGTAAAATCCCTTACCATATGTTCCCAGCAACATAGCTGACCAAATTCTCATATCAGGATCTGCCCCCAAAGTCTAAAGGGCTGGTTCCTTTGTCGTCTTAGGTGAAAGAGTGAGCGAGAGAGTCTGTGGGGTGGTTTTGGCCTTCGCTGTTATAGTCCTGTCACCTGTTGAAATGCATCTTCCTGAGAGTTATTCCTAGATAAAGTTCCTGTTAGCTGTGAGGATGGAGATGGGGAGTCTTGTGGTGAAAGAGATTCTATGTTGTTGTTGCTAAAATGCAGATTGATCTGCGCATGCCCCCGTTGGCTGCCAATAATGGCCATTTGACCAGTGATTGCCAGTCAGCTTTGATGACACCTGGGGAGAAGTGTTAGCTTGTCCTCTGTCTTTGAGAAACAGGTTTACCCCCCCCCCCCCAGACTTGTCTGGTAAACACATTTCAGTCATAATTTCAGTTTATGTTAATAACCTAACATATGTTTCACCATGATATTATTGACCAACGAGTTGTTAATTTTCAAATGATACCTCAAGGCATATTTCGTACAAAGATTATTACAGTGGTATGTATGATTTTAATACAGGGGTGCATTCAGTCACCCTATGGCACTGTGCTCTGTGACTTGTACTACATGATCCTTTGTAAGCCAGTTTGCCTTGCAGAAATCGTTTCACTCTGGTTTGGGCGAGCAGGTATACAGAACTTTGATAGTAAGAAGAGAACTCCTCTGTAACAGGCTTTATGATGATAAAAGGAACAGCAACAACAGTTATAGTCTGGGCTACATAAATGTATCCATTATAACTCCTTGTTCTCAGTTACATCTGAAAAACGTGCACTATTTATGATAAAAGTTTCCACTTGCACTCTGCACGGTGGTTTTTTTTCCTGTTTTGGTAAAGTGTATAACAGTTCAGCTGCTTTTAAGTCTGCACTATTTTGCATACAATATAATCACTTACTAGAATATAAAATTCTACCTGTATTAGCTTTTTTCATAAAAGAAGTTCTTCTCCCCCCCCCCCCCCCGGCATTTCCTGACTATTGATAGCTTAATTTTGCAACCTTAACATTCTGTGTGTCATTTTTGATGGAGTTAGAATATCCTAAAGGTTCTTCTTGTTTACTAGGCAATAACTAAATAGCTTGAGCTTAACAGAGACTGCAGCCGAAACAAGGTATGTAAAGCAAACACAATTTGATGCCAAGTTAGCCCGTGATGACTTTGTTATTGCCAAGTTAAGAGGAAGCCCTCAAGGAGAAATCCAGGGAGTACAAACCAGGCAGTCCAAAACCAAAAGAGGTTTTAATGAATCTTTCTGATACAAAGCCACAGGATTTCACACTTCTCTTCTTCAAGCCTTTGACATTCAAGCTGTATCAGGACCCAAGTAGTCACGTACTGCAAGGAAAACACTTTCCTGTTATTAACCAGAATTTCAAATGCTAATGTCTGCTCAAAAGTCATTAGAGGGACAGGAGCCTGTACACATGCTTAGGGTGTAGGAGACATGGTACTGAGTTAAGAACCTAAGGCTCATAACAGTAATCAGTATGCTTTCAAAAAAAGAAAAGGAGTATTTGTGGCACCTTAGAGACTAATTCAGTGTTCACTGTATTTTTTTTCCTGTTAGAATAAAATAAAGGCTTGAAAACTTCCATTTTCTCTGCAGTTCAGTCAAAAAACAAACTAAAGGGAGGAAGTGCAAGGTTTCTCCTTCGTTATGTGGGTGATGTGCTAAATAAGGAACATATCTCAACAAGAATCATATATAATGCAAGATAGAAAAGCTTGTCCATATGATGTTTTAGTTTGTTCTACAAAGGCCTGATCTTGCTCTGATTGCAGTCAATGACAAAAATTCCATAGATTTCAGAGGGTACCGAATCAGATTCACAGATACCATGGCCTAGATACTGTGGTGATTTATGTAATGTTGCACCAATGTGTATGTAGTAACCAGCAAGGTGGTGGTAATAGCATCCAAGAGAGAACATGGAAAAAGACAGAGGGCTGATAATGGACAGCAAATTCGACAGGAGCTTGAAATGCAGTACAGGAGCAAAAAAAAGCCATTCAAGTTTTGACTGCAGGGGAATTATGTCACCTTGCATGGAGGCAAGAATCTCTCTCAATATGGCTGTCATGTGCCTGATCCTAGAATATTGCATTTGCGGTACCATCTTATTTAGAAGATAGACAAACTGGAGAGAATTCAGAGAGGAGCAATGACAACAATTAGGGGCTGGAAGGACTGATATATGGGGAAAGATGAAGACGGCTAAATATGTATAGCTTGGCTTCGAGACTAAGGCCATGTGTCCACTACGGGGACGATAGCAATATAACTACAGCTATGCCAGCATAACCCTGTAGCGTACACACAGCTTTCGGTGATGGAAGGGGTTTTTCTGCGGTAGGGGCGCCACCTTCTCAAGCAATGGTAGCTAGGTCAACGGAAGCATTCTTCCATCGATCTCGCCGCATTTACACTGGGGGTTAGATTGGCATTGCTCAGGGGTCTAGCTATGTTGACCTAAATTTTAAGTGTAGACTAGGCCTAGGAGGGAATGTGACAGTCTATAACTAGCTGAAGGGCATAAATACTGAAGAGGGAGAGGAATTATTTAGAGTGATATATGGGGTGTAACCAGAAAAAATTATGTGAAACTAAGGTTGAATATTAGGAAAAAATTTCTGACACAGATCGGTTATTCAGTGGGATAGTCTAACAAAGGAAGTGGCCCAAATCCCATCACTTGGGACTTTGTGTAGACTAGACACTGTACTGTAGGAAACTCTCCTGCAAGGGACTGGATGATCTAGTAGTTGTTAGTTATCAATCTAACTAACCACTATGATGAATAGTTCATCAAAAATGAGCTTGTTTTTTCCCCACTTTTGTTCTAGGTCCAACCCGTAAAATGCCCCAAACTGCCAGTGCCATGGACTTTTTTCAGCTCTTTGTCCCTGACAATGTACTAAAGAACATGGTGGTACAAACCAACATGTATGCCAAGAAGTACCAGGAGAGATTTGGCAAAGATGATGCCTGGATGGATGTCACTCTAACAGAAATGAAAGCCTTCCTAGGCTACATGATCTCAACAAGCATTCACCACTGCGAGTCCGTCCTCAGCATTTGGAGCAGTGGCTTCTACAGCAACAGGAGCATAGCGCTGATCATGACACAGCCGCGGTTTGAGAAAATCCTGAAGTACTTCCACATTGTGGCCTTCCGTTCCAGCCAGATGACACATGGCCTCTACAAAATTCAGCCTTTTCTGGACTCTCTGCAGTATGGCTTTGACTCTGCTTTTAGGCCTTCCCAAACCCAGGTAAGAGTTAACTTATTGGCAGTTGAAATCTTAGCTTACTACATACTCTAGGTTATTTACCAATGACCATTAATACCGAAACTGCAGAGTTACCTGTAGAGAGAGCTAGATATTACAGTATGAAGACACAATGCAGTGTGACTATGACTGAGTATAAGTGACACCTTTTAGCTCTCGGCATGTGCTCTCTTGAGCAAGAATCTGAGAGGCTTGCAACTCTCAAAACAGTAGAAGTTGCAGGTGCCCAGCCACTTAGGGTTTGGCTCTGTCTTTTGAGCCATGTCTCTTTGCCTTACTGATCAAAACATGTTTTCACTGTTGTTGGCCCCACAGCGATGGATCTTATTGCCTGCATGCCGACAAAAATGTCAACCAAGTTCTAACTGTGGACTCTTTATTATTGGTGCTGGTGTAGAAGGCAGATAGAACCCAGCTGGATTGTTAGATCCCAGGTTCGGGTTGCAGTTGGGGGGGAAACTTCAGGCTTGTAAACTGAGCAAGTTTAATATAAGACATTGAGAAACCAAACATGGAAACTTGTGCTATTATTGTTACCGTTACTTATCTGATTATTGCCACACAAGCTGATAAGTAACCAAATAAACCAAGATCAAGGAAATGTAACTTAAAATACCCGCAACCTATATCATCCACTCTTCCATCCACAGCACAAAATGTTAAATATGGCAAACAGCTCTGTGGACGATTCTATTTCCCACCTTCAGGAGTTTAGGAAAATAATAAAACAAATGTAATTCAAAATGTTCTACTTGAAATACCTTTTAATCAAGGTCATGCTTTCAGCGTGCAAAGCTGATCTATTGTGGAGAGCAGCAAAAGGACATTCTTTCTTGTCTGTCTCCTGTGCTATAGTATTGCAAAAAGAGGAGTGTTTGCCCTCCTCTGGAGCATTGGGTATTGGCTATGATCAGAGACAAGATACCAGACTAGGTGGATGTGTGACCTGACCCGGTATGGCAAGTCTTATCTCAAATATTTTGCCATTGAAGTGTGGCAAAAAATAAATAGAGCTGAGTAGTAAATAACGGAAATTTGCCTGTTTCGTAGGAGAAGAGAGAGATACCAGCCAACCATTGTGGCTTTAAAATTCAGGACAGTGCAGCAACTCATGGTCCAGACATTAATCAGTTTGAGGTAGGAGCCACAAGACAGAACTCTTCATGTTAGGCCACACTGGCAAGGTGCTGTCTCTGATGCCAAGGCAAAACAGCAAATCAAACACAGAAAACATTCCAAGGACAGGACATCCCACCCATTGACTTCAGTGGGTGCAAAAATCAAGGGCTTAGAAGCTTGATCACTGTGTTTGTAAATGCTCAAAACGTTGGATTCCTGTGGGACATTTGAAAAGCACAAATCCCATTAGCGAGTAATGTGATTCCCACATATACTGACCCCCCATACTAGGTCTGAAAACTTAATCAATAGAATCACCTGTTCCACGTTTGCGATGACTAAGTGTCTGAATCTCTGCACGCAGTCTGTATATTTGTGCTATGTTTTGTACGGAGAGTCTTTTCTCTCTCTCTTTTTTTTTTTTTTTTATTAAGGTAACAGCCATTCTTCGCTCCCATTTCCCCCACCCCTAGGCTCCCTTGTCAACGTGTGTGTTGATTTTATAAAGCACCCTTCAGCCGTATCAAGCTGAACATCAAACATCACAACATTGCATCAAAAAAATTAGACATGAGAAAGAGGTTTTAAGTCTGTTCTTAAAAATAATAAGACAATCACAAGAATAAGTATCATACTGAAGTACAATCCAGACCTGATCCTGCAAGGGGCTGAGTGCTCTAGCTCTCTGTGGAGTCAACAGGAATTGTATACCCAACATCCTGAGGGACTGGGGCTCCACCAGCTTGAAGCAAGAGGGGGGAAAAAAGCCCTCTAACTGGGAATTGCCCAGGGTGCAGATGGTATAATAAGGTTAAGTATCAGATCCAGAATTAAAGGCCAAGCGAAAACATAAATACTAATCCTGTTGAACAGATACAAGGGGAAATGGCAAGAAAGAGCTCATTCTGATAGGCTGTTGGATGTGTCCTGTTTTTTAGCTATGGCAATTATGTTGTGGAAAACCCCCCATTTTTCTCTGACCCAGGGATTTTTGGAGAACTTTGGGGGGTGCTATTTTGTGTGTAGAGGTTTCTATTCTGTCACTTGTTTCTGGATAGTTTGAGTTAACATTTCCTAAGGCAGCCAAGGTAATTGTGTGTCCACCAATATGTTTTTACTGGCTGGATTTAAAAAAAAAAAACAAAAAAAAAAACAAAAAAAGGTTTTGGTACCCAAGCTGCAGCCTTCTTATCTATCTGGATTTATAGTATCCTCAAATCTTGTGGTCCCCAAATCAGGGGTTTTGGCACAGGCCCATCTCCTGTCAGTTCTCTCCCCCCATCCGTGCCTCCCCAACAGTTGTGTATTCTTGCCTTTCAATTCCTTTCTGTTATCTTGATTGGATGGTTTGTGTAATCAATGCTAAGGTTGTGGTGCTTGTCACTTTCTTGTTGCTAGTCCACAGGAGGTTTGTGAGTCTGGTATAGCCTTGGAGTTATGAAGCCTGAGTTCTTTAGCTCTGGCGGTAAAGGCTCATGCTTGAGGTCCTGCCTTCAGTTCCTGCTGATGATAACCTACCCAGGGGCATCATATTACATGTGTTATTGGGGCAGCTTACCATTTTTCAGAGACACAAATTCATAGAATCATAGAATCATAGAATATCAGGGTTGGAAGGGACCTCAGGAGGTCATCTAGTCCAACCCCCTGCTCAAAGCAGGACCAATGCCCAACTGAATCATCCCAGCCAGGGCTTTGTCAAGCCTGATCTTAAAAACCTCAAAGGAAGGAGATTCCACCACCTCCCTAGGTAACCATTCCAGTCTCACCACTCTCCTAGTGAAAATTTCCTAATATCAATCTAAACCTCCCCCACTGAATTGAGACCATTATCTCGTTCTGTCATCTGCTACCACTGAGAACAGTCTAGATCCATCCTCTTTGGAACCCCCATTCAGGTAATTGAAAGCAGCTATCAAATCCCCCCTCATTCTTCTCTTTCACAGACTAAACAATCCCAGTCCTCACCTCTCCTAAAGTATGTGTCATCCCTAATCATTTTTGTTCCTGTCTCCTATCCCAAAATCCACATCATATATTTTTAAATGAATGCTAAACTTCTGCATGCTCTCTTTTGAGGTGCATATGCTACAGAAGACATCACACTTGGGGATTTTGTGAACTCCTTTTGTACAAGGGGATGGAAAGCTAATATCCAAAGTTGAAGAATGAGGTAAACAGAGCATGGTACTGTGGCAGGAGTAGTCAACAGGTGGACCGTGGGCCAAATCTAGACCCCCAAATGCTTTTGAACATGCATAGAAGTCTTATTTACTTATTATTGTTATTGTTTTTTGTATTCTTCTCTCCGGAGTCTGGACTTTGACAAGAAATTTGGACCTTGACAAAAACTAGTTGATTACCCCTGTATTATGGTATATTTAGCATATGATAATGCAAACAGAAATGTACATAGAGGAAATAATACCGCCTGCGCCAGGTTGGGAAGTTATTGAAAGTACAGAACCAATTAACAGAGAGCCAGATCCTGTTGTCACGCCATTAGCTTCAATTACACAGATTTTAAAGCAGCTGAGAATCTGGATCACATTGTTTAGAACAGGAGAATTTCCCTAGTATCCCATCCCTCCCCAACAAACGCATGTAAAGAAATCACTGTCTTTACCTGAAAAAGCCAGCGGGAAGGGGGTTTTGAGGCTCAACTACTGGGGACAATGCTTCATCTGTTGCCACTTGGGTACTATTTGCTTTACTGAAGATTGTATCAGGTTGGAAGCTTGATGGCAGAAGGATGTTCTGATAAGAGTTCTAAGAGAATGTATTATAACAAATCCATGGGTGCCTAGGCCTGCAGCATTTGTTGCTATGTCACATACCATGGTCCTCAGAATTTTCTGGTGACAACAGGGTCAGATCTCCGAAGCCTCTGCTCCACAGGCACAGAGGCTTACCTGGCCACTTTCTCTACAAGGATATCTGTGTTAGCTGTTACCAGTATAGGACCTGGGGTGCTGTTATGCAGTGCAGATTCCGTCCAGTAGAGGATGTATGTGTACATTGTACACCCCCCCACCCATACACTGAAGTACTAAACAATAGCCAGTTTAAGAAACTAGAGAAAGGGAAATAAATAACTGACCAACCCCCCTTTTTGTTGTTTTTTCCTTTTTTAGGAAGGCTTATGATTGAATATAGATTTGTACCAGTGTTTAAGTGAGAGATGTTGGGCAAGTCACAACCGCTCTGTACCTCAGTTTCCCCATTTGCAAAATACATATAAATATCCACCCCAAGGGAGTGTTGAGAGAATTAATATTTGCAGTGTGCTTTGCACATTTGTAGCAACTTTTCATTTGAGGATCTCAAAGTGTTGTGCAAACTTAAATTGTAAGTTATTTGACTCAATCCTAAAGGAAGAAGAAGGTTCAGTCGTTTTGGGGATAACTGGTACTAGGTGGGCTGGCAACTGCAGCTTCCCCAACAGCCAGGAGAATTTGCATGCCTCCTCACATCTTCATCTATATTTCTGTAGGTAAACTGTACATTTTGCAAGAGTGCTTTCAGATGGTGCCGTGAATGTTTTATGAGCCATTAAAACCTGGAGTGTGTCTAAATGAAGGCATGCAGCAGCCACGGGACTGAGAACATCTCTCTCTCTTCTGGATTGAAGGAATGATGTCTTAACTTCAATATTTGAGAGACAAATGGCTACCTGTGAGGTGGCTTTACCCAGGGCTGTGCCACATCTCCACACGCACCGCATGTTTAATGCAGGAGTGGAATTGCAAGAAAGTGCCCTGATTTTTTTTTTTTTTATAATTAGACGCATACAGATGAATACACCTGTTAAATTGAAGTTTATTTTGTGTGCACATACAATTCAAAATATATATATAAGACCCACACAGTTGATAATTGGTTTTATTTATTTTTTATCATCAGGAAAGGGAGATATGGAGTGGTTATAGAGTTCCTGATCCTCCACAGGTACCAGAGGGGACCAGGATGTATTCCAGGGTGTGCTTAATAAAAGAGGGACTTCCCAGTCATGGATTTCTATAGTTACTGCTTACAGCATGGCTCTTTACGTTTATGTCCTCACACTACACAACTGTGCATACCCACAGTGGCGGCCCACAAGGCAATAGGAGTGATAGGAACACTCCTCTGTAAGTAACTCCTGGAACACTAAAGGAACTCCACCTTTGTAAAGAATTCCACACAAAAATATTATGTTAAAAGAATATTAAGATTGCCGAGTCAAACATTTGAGGTAGGAAGCGCTGGAATTAAGGTTGACTGTCAGGGCTGTTCCACCTTTCTCTGAGGCCTCCAGGACTAGCCACTGTCAGATAGATCAGTTATCTTGTTCCAGTATGGAAATGTCTATGGTCTTATTTAATAGAAGCCATTTTGCAACCAGTACAAATCTTTGAAAATGTGTATCGTGTCCAACCTTCATGTCTTCTTTTCCAGTCAGCATGACTATTGTGCCTTCGGTTTTATGGCATTACCACATCCCAGCACGCGCAGAATGCTGCTGCTGCTGTTATTCACACACACTTAAAGAAGCACAACCTATATAATCCACATCCTCAGATAGTTCTGCTGGCTCCCCATTCATACTATATTGCTGGTACAAAATTGCCCCATTTTTAAACACTCCATGGACTTGCTCCAGTCTGCATCATAGAACTTACCTCTTTATATTCCTGTCCCTGCTCTCTCAGCTCATCTAGCCCAGCTTCCTGTGTGTCCTTTCACAGAATCTCACTGCTGCTGGTGCAAGAGCCTTCTCCTCTGCAGCTCCTGGAATCAGGAACAAAATTCCTTCATCTCCATCTCACCTCAAGTAGCCTCAGAAAGCATCTTTATCTCCCTTGAGTACCTCTTTAATTTGTGTCCCCCTCTGCTGTTTGTTATTCCTTGCTCAATAACTATGTCATGTAAATCTGCAAAATACAATAGGATATAATTGGCACGAAAAACACTCTGCAAAATAAAATAACGTTTTTTTATGAATAAGCATGTGTTTGAAGTTGTCATGGGATAGTTTCACATTATAAATCACCTGGAGAGGCATATAACATTGTGACGAGGAAGACATGAATGCAGTCCAATGTCAACATTGGGGACAATTAAAATTAGGGTGGATAGACTCCTAAGCACTTCACTTCTTTCACATGGTCCTCCATGCTCAAGAGAGCATTTTGGCTTGTGGTGATGGGCCATGGTGCTTCTGCTAGATGAGAGAACTGAGCAAAAGTGCAATCATGACACAGAGAGAGATAGCGTTGCCTCAGGAAACTTTACTTTGTTTAGAACTAACAGTACTTTAATGAACTTATTTTGATCATAGGTGCTACATGAACCGCTGATCGATGAGGACCCAGTTTTCATTGCCACATGCACAGAGCGGGAGCTACGCAAAAGGAAAAAGCGGAAATTCAGCCTGTGGGTTCGGCAGTGCTCATCTACTGGTTTCATCTGTCAGGTAGATTGGTCTCAGTGCAATTTCTAGCAGACAGGTGTGTGCACAAGACTCATCAGAATTGCCAGCTCTGCTGGCAGTCTCAGCAGAGGCTGAGGATTAAATGGGCTCTGGAGACTGAACCAGGCCTCTGACCCCTGCAGATGGTACCTCCAGATGGATTAGTACGGTTTCTAATACCGTTTCTAGTACCATCAAAGGAAGCTTGTACGGCCACTGCCCATGCTATACCTGTTCTGTGGCTAAATAGAGGGTTTCTGTTTCTGGAGCTATCCAACTGGCTACCAGCCTTAAATGCATTATAATAATTAAAAAAAAAATAAAGCCAAGCCAAAGCAATAGGGAATCTCGCCATCCCAAAGATATGAGGGATCTCTCCTGTTCTTTAATTGAATAATTTTTTTCTCCAAGCATAATACTGCATATATCAGACAGTTCAAGTTGTATCCATATATGCAATAGAATTAGTCAAGGTGTAGCATCCTGATGGCCTGCATTCTGTGGCCAGTATATTAGGTTCCCCCTCCTAGCCCTCCAAGAAAGAAAATCTGACATTACCTGAAGATGACGATATAAGAGCTTGAATGTAAGTAAATTAAGTCTTCTGGTTGGATATGTTTTATAAAACATTTTGAGCTAGATTTTTCGGCAGAGCCACTTATTTTGGTGTCTAGATGATGGGGGAATGGCCCCAATTGTGAGTGCTGAGCACTTTTGAAAACTCTGGCCCACGTCACCAATGGTGTACGCTATATGGATAGCTCTCCAAGAAAGAATTTTATTCTATAAGACAGGTTAGCTGGAAATAAAGGTCTGCATTTTCAGTGGTGCAATAGCCTGACAAAGGAATGGGGAGAAAACTAGAGTCATATACTTCCCCCAGTCAGCTTTGTCAGCAGCAGCTTTCTCTGTCCCAGCAGCCCCAGGCAAGGGCTCCCTGTCCCATCCAACCACCCACCCCCGTTGTCCTGATTGGCATGGCTGAAAGGTGACCAAGCTCCGAAGGCAGGGCTGGGGAGAGACCGGGTGGCAGAGAAGCTGCGAGTGGGGGGACTCAAGTAGGGGAAATGTGTATGTGTGAGAGCGGATGGGGGGGGGGTTGCCTCTTGCCTGTGTTCCCAGGCTCTGAGGGGCCCCACAGAGGAGAGAGAGAGGGGGGGGGCGGGGAACGGCCCTTCACACATGGAACTACAACTCCCATGATGCTCCTGTACCATGTCAGCAGCTGCGTGGTTCCTTGCCTGGGGCTGCTAACATTGTGTAGCAACCTTGGGAGTTTCCACTCACTGGCTTTTGGAAGGCAACATGCAGTACAGCAGTAGTGTACTTAGTCTCCAAGGAGACCTCTCCTTCTCGTACATGCAGGGTATTATTGAAGGACAATAGGGACAGAGACAGAAGAATAAAGTTCACAGATCTATCCAAAAAACCTGACAAGACAGCAGCCATGCCACAGATTTCAGATACGCTGAGCTGTAATTAGATTTTATCCCACAGGCTTCTCCATTAATGCGCTCTTTAAATGGATGAGTCAGTGGAAGCAGAGGACACTCAGCACCTCACAGGATCAGACCCAGATGCTCTCTCACAATTATGAAGTTGACACTCATGCCTGACTTGCATCCAAACAACCACCAGCAGCTCCTTAATGGCCCTTTCCATTATGTGAATAGGTGAGAGCGAACACTGAGAAGCATGAACATTCATTCCAAAATAGAAAACGTACAGGATTTTGCCAATTACAGTATCAACTACAGACTTTAAGTACCAAGATCAGCACTATCACCCCGCTCTCCGACACAGTCACAGAGGCCTTGCAGAAGCCAGACACTTACTTGGTGACTGCCTGCTGTTCTGTGAAGGAGTAAAACAGTATTTTTCTTAATGTACCAAAAAAAAGGTTTTTAGCTGAGTTTCGTATAAAGACATTATAGATCCAGATAAGAGGAAAGTTCTGTGTCTCCCTCCCTCCACATCACCACGCCCATCCTGCAAGTCTGCCAACATAAAAGCATGTTGATAGATAATGGGTGACCAAGCTTCCTCCTGTGTGTTCTCAAAAAAGAAGCTCCCATATGCAGGCAAATGCAGCACAAAATGCTGTAACACCAAGGGGCCAAATTCCACTCTGACCCATACATGTACAATGATCTCAGTGGGAACAATGGTCACTTGCTTGTGGGCAGAATTTGGCACTATACATATTGTATACAGGAAATTTAATGACAGGTTTCAGAGTAGCAGCTGTGTTAGTCTGTAGCCGCAAAAAGAAAAGGAGCACTTGTGGCACCTTAGAGACTAAAACAGTCTCTAAGGTGCCACAAGTACTCCTTTTCTTTTTGAGGAAATTTAATGTAATTCAACTAATTGGGCCCCTGTAAGCAGAAGAGGACCGAGCTACAAACAGGTCAACTTGCTTACATTTGTTTTTTGAAGTTATTCACTGAATCATTTCTGTGAACAATTCTTGGTGTGTAGCTCACCGACGAGTTTGTTGCTAGCATTCAGTATTTGAAATTTGAGCTGTTCAGAATGATCATGTGGTTTTGGTCTGCTCCCTAACTGGATGAGCAGAACTCTGAATCAGATTTTAATGTAAACAAATATTCATATTTACAGGTTCTACATTCATTCTCTATGAATATTCTATAATATGCTTTCATAGTTTGCTGTCAGGGTAATATTCCTGCCAGCAAACTAATTCATTAGAAACTTAATGGAACATAAAAAGGTGCTTAAAGACACTCAAAGCACATTCATTTATGTTACAGTATTGGCCCAGCTCTCTCTCCTGTGCTATGAATAACTTGATTCCAGAGTTGGCAATTCAGGTCCTTGCTTTCAGATGAATTTCCATTTTGTACCACATGTCTGCCTCAGAACTTCCTAAGCAAAGCACCACCTCTCAGTTACTAATGTCTTTCTCGTGTAGCTCAGCCATTCAGCTAAAACAAGTAAGAATATGAGCTAAGCATAGGCAAACCCACTTTGGACAAAAGAACTCAAATTAAAGCTTTCTGGAGGTTTAAAATTTCTCTCTCATTTTCTACTTCCCTATCCCCATTTTTCATTCCATGTTATGAATATTATATATCGAGTGCTAAAAGCAATGTTTAGTGTGCTTGTATTTTGTTCCATTAGAGTTGCTGTACTGGGAAAAGAGCTACTCTTTGCTTTAACCATGCAGTGGCCATACAGAATTGCAACCACAGCACAGCCTCCAATCTGATGATCCTGTTAACATTCTCCCATCATTAGTATCAATACATTTAGCCTATTTAGGTAAGTGAGGCAGAACAGTTCTGTTCTTTGGAAAATTAACTCTTTTGATAGCTAGCTGCAAAGAAAAGGAGTACTTGTGTCACCTTAGAGACTAACAGATTTATTAGAGCATAAGCTTTCGTGAGCTACAGCTCATTTCGGAAAGTTGGGTCTTTCGGTTAAAGTGTGGGAGACAGGAGCTTTGGATTTATGCTGTCACTTTAAGGCAAAGAGTTTAAGTGAGATGCCTAGTTTCTCCATCTGTAAAACCAGGATTACATCATTACATCAATGAAGTCACACAAATGAGGGTCATTCTTGTCCGTTGCCAGCTTGTGCAGGTCAAGGAGTGACTGGTTCACATTCTTTTCCAGGTGCAAGGCACACTCCATTGCTGTCAACCCATTCTCCCAATCATCACGATCTGGTTTCTTGATGTCCTGCAAAAAGATGTACTGCATTCCAGGGCAACTTCCTTCAGGATAACTGAAGCCCTACATTGCAGGTTCTTCTGCACCAAAAGCTAAAACTACAGGAGAATCTATCAGCCATACACGGCTGATGAGACAGAGCTAAGTAGTTCAGATTGGTGCGTGCACACACTAGTTAGTTTCTTACATTGTTGGACTTTTTCCTCACAGTTGCTGCAGATAAATGAATGTTTGTAAAGTGCATGGAGAGCGCAGGTGGAAAGCACTTGAAGTGTGAATTATTAGCAGCACTACTACAGGCATTGCAGATTGGATTTGCCTCCTCTAGGGAATGCCAAATTTACAGAAGGAACACTGAAGTTGGGTTTGAACTTGGGCCTGCTGTCTGTCCTACAAGCAGAGCCAGCAGGCTGTTTTTCCAATATATTTCCCAATGTATTTATTGCTGTTGAGGTGCTTTTTAAGCCAAGACTTTAAGTGCAGTTTTCTGGCTACAGTCCTGTGGTGGAAGGGTTTTCTTCTTCTTTCTGAGAGCATTTGCTGACACTGTTTAAATCAAAACCCTAGACGTGCCTTTTGATTTCACTCTCTCTTGATTTCTCCCTCACCAACACTCTGGAATGCTTTACTTAACAGATCTGTGTAAATGTAAGTGATTAATAGGTCACTTAATAGTGCTAACTACACCCCCATCTGCTCACTGCAGACTGTTGGCACTACCAGAGCTGTCACTAGGCATTTTAGCACCTTGGGCAAGTGGAGCAAGCACATTTGTGCCCTCTATGGGGTTTTTTAGATAATGAGTTAGAATATTAGAGTAATGATAATGCATTTATTTTTGCATATCAGTACAGTATATAGACAATAAAAGCTACAATATGATACTTTTAGTTGCCACATTACTTTTCACACAGTCGTTTAACATCCCTATAGTATCCTCTGACACCTAAGTGTGGAGACAGAGGAACATATATTGCTGCCCCAAACGACCTTTGGTCCTGTTCACCCCAGCATGGCCACTAGGATGATTGTGGGCCAAGCTCAAGTACCCGGTACTTAGTTGGAACTACCAACTGTCTCGGAGGATGCCATTCTTCCTGGTGTCCACCAGAAAGAGTTTCCTTGTATAAAAGTCCTCTTTCTACAACAAGCCTGGATCAATTAGAAGAGCTGAGAGGCGGTGGGTTGTTCCGGGCTGCTGTCCAAGCTCTCTGGAGGCTTTCACCTGCTTCCTATTCGGTCTGGAACTGTTCCCTTGATGCTGGAGACATCAGTTCCTCACTGGATTGTGGACCTAGGCTTGGTTCCTCT